CTGCTCTGTTTACATAGACAACCAAGGAGATGGGCTTGAGGACAATATTCAGAGATGGTTACGAAAACAGAAAGGGCAGAAGCCTGCCTTAAGCCCCGGGAAGGAGACAGGATGAGGAAGAGACTCAAGCTGGTTTCTTCCTGGGATAAAAGTACAGTGACCATGTTTTCTTGGGAAAAAATAAAGGACAACCTGAAAAAAGGGCAAATCGGAAAGAGGTTCGTAAGGATAAAAAAAATTGTTGATGTGTATAACTTTGCTTTACAAAGAAAAATTCAGGAGCAAAATCAAGGAAAAAAACAAATTAAATCTAGAGGATAGCTTTCTGAAATAAAGGACTGTGGTTTATAATAAAGGACGTAGGTCACTGTACGTATGAGAGGAAGAGGAGGAAAAACACCTGCAAGATTTTCTTATTATAACCTATCTCAAGAAAGTTCTAATCTTTCCAGAGAGTTGGGATCTGGTCTACTTCGTAGAGCTGACAGTTAGCCTTCCAGAAACAATTTAAAGCCATGCTTTCAATCCCAGCAAGGGACTGAGTGGTGGAACTTGTTAACAGTGCTTTTTATTTGGGATTTTGTATTTTTGTTTTTGTGATTTGGTTTTCCTACTTCTCCCCTGTCCAGAGTCCTTCAAGGTGGAGGCAGGTTGTGAAAAGGGTTTAATAAATGTGTAAACGTCGTCTTTCTGTTCCCCCGCAGGGTAAGTTCACGACTGCCAGCGATGTCTGGGCATTTGGGGTTACGCTCTGGGAGATCCTCATGCTATGCCAGGAGCAGCCTTACAGCCAGCTCACGGATGAAGCTGTTATCGAGAACGCCGGCGAGTTTTTTCGGCATCAGGGGAAACAGGTAACCACACACCCAAGTGTGTATAGTATGTTAGACTAGGATTCACATGGGGCTAGATAATGTGTGGATCATTGTGTTGTGGGAAACTCAAGTCATGGTTTCAGCATGCTGTGTAAACCAGACCGTAATGTTAAGCTATACTGTAAATTATTTGTCTGAGCACTACATGTTATGGAAAACATGGCAGTTATGTTTTCTTAATCCAGACATAGCATGCTTTATGAATCCAGCCACTGTGTAGCGATCCCTTGATGAGTACAGGTAGTCCTGGCTTAACGACCACAATAGGGACCAGAAAATTTGTTAAGCGAGTCACACCCGATTTTATGACCTTTTTTGCAGTGGTCATTAAGTGAATCACCATGGCCGTTAAGTGAATCACACAGTCATTAAATGAATTATGCGGTTCCCCATTGATTTTGCTTGTGGGAAGCTGGCTGGGAAGGTTGCAAATGGTGATCACACAACCCCAGGATGCTGCAACTGTCATAAGTATGAGCTAGTTGCCGAGCACCTGGATCACCATCACGTAACTACGGGGGTGCTGCAACAGTTGTAAGCATGAGGACCGGTTGTAAGTCCCTTTGTTCAGCACTGTGGTAACTTCAAACTGTCACTAAATGAATGGCTGTTAAGTGAGGACTACCTGTACCACTTGTACAACTTGTACACAAGACTATTCACTGCGATGAGGGGCAGACATCACAATTTAAAAAAGGTGCCATGCATAATTTGAAACCCACTAAACTCAAAGCAGAGTACTCACTATTATTTAACCTCAGCCTTTCCTATCTGCCTGAAATTGCAGCAAAAATAGACAGTGACCTTGTTCAGATGTCACACCAGTCTGCAGCCATCATTTAAACCAGACGTGTCCCATCTTTTTTAAATAGTAAGATGCCAAGGCTCACCCCTGGCCTTTTGAATCTTGTATGGGGGCTACACTCCATATTAGAACAGGGTACAGTTGGTCCACCGAACACAAAGCTTGCATTTGATTTAATTTAAAATGAATTAAAATCAAGATAAAATCAGGGAATAGAGCTCATAAGACTTCTTCCCATCTGTCACATTAAAAATCGCAGGGCTATATTAATTTGGGGAGGGATTTTGAAGCTCTGGGGTTGGGGAATATGTGGTTTAGAATTGCACGCTATGCACGTGTGGCTTAGGGCTTGGTGTGACACTTACAAACAGGGCCCATGGGATTTCTGCCCTCACCATGCTGAGGATGAAGCAACCGTTTGCTTGCTTACACATTCAACCTCAAATAAAGGAATGAGATTTATTTCCTGCCCATGCTACTTGAATGGAGACAGGAGCTACACGCCTTGAGTCTTTTACTGAAGATTAAGCTCCGTTGTAAGAAAGTCCTGGTTCTGTCTTGGGCCTGCCCACCTCAGGACCGTGTAATAGTCCCTTTTACTCCATCTTCAGGTCTATCTTTCCCGTCCTCCCGCCTGCCCCTTGGCTGTCTACGAGATGATGCTGAGATGCTGGGCACGAGAGGCCAAGGACCGCCCATCGTTCCAACACCTGCACTGCTTCCTGGCTGAAGATGCCCTCAATATGGTGTGAACCAGACTAGTACTGGCTGTCAGAGGCTATGTTAAGAAGTTGGACTGCACCATAGAGACTGCTGGGGACAGGGTGTGGCTCAGGGGGCGTAATGCTCTGTCGTATCTCTGGGGCACATCTGGTTGTTCACTCTGGCCCAGCCTTTGCTCATCCATATCTCACCATTCATCCTCTAATATGTGGTTCTCTTTCCCCCCTCATTTTCTTTTGCCTGGTTATCTCTAACTAACTTATTCCATCTCATGATCCAAAATGGTCATTCTGAGATTCTTAACCAAATAGTCTGTTTTCCACTCCGTTAACCTACTGTATATTTCTCCTTGTCCTAAACCAGTCTGTTTCAGCTTTAAACCAACTTGGTGCCTTCCTGATGTGTCTAGAAAACTACAATTCCCAAAGTTGCCAGCTAGTATTTATCAACACAGAGTAAGCAACTGGGGGCCCTCCATGTGTCTGGGCTGTCCCAATTCCGTCAAGGACATTTGCAGCAAAGGACAGTTGTAGTCCAAAACATTTGGAGGACATTAGATTGTCTCTAGCCAGAGACTATGTTGGCTAGAACATCTTAGTTATAGTTTCAGCACATCTGGGAGACACCCAGGCAAGGAAGCTGCTCTGTCTAATCTAGTCCTGTTCATCCTACCTTAATTTGAACAAATATTTCATTACTTGTTCTTCTGAAAGTTTCTTCTCTTACATCATTTTACATGTTTCTTCTGTCCTCTGATCTCCAGAGTCTCGGGGTGAGCTGAGCCTCCCTAAGGAAGCAGGGTTAGTGGCTAGGTGATTTCCTGAACCACGCTTTCTCTGATTTCCTTCCTTTAGCGCCAAACCAGGCACAGTGTAATGTTCTGATTGATGTGATCATGTCTTTCACGTCCATTCAATGCTAGCAGGTCTGTGAGTTGGTGTCATGCAATGGGCTGTGAACCTGAAAAACCTCCTTCCCAGTTTCACGTCAGACACATCACTAGGGAGCCCTAAACTCCAGCCCCTCATTGAGAACATGAGGAGAAGATATTAATGCTGGCTTACTTAGCAGGAGTTTGTAAGGATTGCTGCAGTAAAGTCTGTAAACATTTTGAGCAGTCAAGCATAGTACGATATGTGCTTTGTGCCATTTTGAATATTAACACTCTTTTTTTAAATACCCTGCAATCCTTGTCTTTGATACTCCAGAGTAATTGTGGGGTGGCACTCCCCCCTCTCCCCCCCACACTTCCCTTTAGCTTGCCAACTGAGATCTGGGGGACTTGAATGCTCTTTAATGGGATCTTCACCAAACCACCACTCTGGATTTATAAGTGAAGTTGGGGTGATTGTTCCACCCGTTGAGTTGAGAGCTTTTCTTTATTTCTATTTTGTTTTAGCGATATTTTTTCTCTGTGGGACTTACAACAGAGCTGAACAAATATCTTTTCTGGTTAAGGGTTGGATTCATGCACAGCAACCTGTGTAACATGGTGTCCAAAGTGCTCTGTGTAACTTACACAAAGATGGTTGGTGCTGGTTTGGGGGCTTGGCTAGGAACAGCTGGTGAGGGGAGGGCATAATGTTAGGGAAGGCTATTCTGTACTGTAATTCCATATCCTTCTGGGAGCGGGGAAGGTGGTGCTTCCTGGATATCTCCCCCTTGCATATGGAGGCTTACACTCTGCACTGTTCCACTGTTTGTGTGTGTTGTCTTTCCCCGGAAAATGTTTCTCTCTTTCTCTAAACCAGTGTTTTCCAACCTTGGCCCCTTTAAGATGAGTGGACTTCAACTCCCAGAATTCCCCAGCCACTCATCTTAAAGGGGCCAAGGTTGGAAAACACTGCTCTAAACAGATAGTCCCCAGTTTAAGAATGAGTTCTGTTCCCGAGGC